TTATACCCAGACTCGTCTTTCCATCACCCTTTCCAGGAAACATGACAAAAATCATTGTGTTTCTATTCTTCCCACATCCTTGGCATAGAAAAAAATTCTCTATAGATTTCAACTCTTGTTTTGTTTTTACTTTTACCCAATACATTCTTATCATAGCAGATTAATTCACCAACAGGAAGCAAGTCTAGTTTACGTTTTTAAGTAAATCTATACAAGCACTCTTATTTATTACCAGTTACTTCTTATCAGGAAATGGCTGTGCCCTCTAGTTTTACTATGCTAAATTCATGCATTAAATTCTACCTATTCAAATTTTCATAATATTTCTAATGTCCCAGATATATCTTGGAGGCGGAGCATCCTAATCTGCCAAGAAATAGCTGAATGAGCTTTTGAAATACTTCAACTCAAGGATGCCCAAATAATATCGCTATATTTGATTCATATTTAAAATAAAAATGCATTCCTATGATCACAAAAATGCCTTCAATTTGTTTACAACCATGTTTCATTGCAATCAAAGCCTATATCAAGAAAAATGAAGTTTGGTTTTACTTACCTGGGTTGTAATAAACCGATGAAGTCATTTGCTATTTACAGAGGTAGAGACTTTATAGAAGCACCAGCAGAAAAATCTAACTTAGGGCATTATAGAAAGTTAAATTAAAATTCCTAATACGTGCTCCATAGTGCTACTGAATACATAAATACAACAGAGCAGTCCACGTTTGCTGTCTACATACCATTCAGATTGAATCTTCTGACATGTTTGCAAGAAGTTGAATCTCTATTTCCTCCAGCTCAGTGTTCCAGTTGCATGCCTTCTGGTTTACCAGCAGGCTTTCCTAGCTGGCGGGGTTGAATGGAATTCAATTTTCAATTTTCATGAAAGAACTGGTGGTATCACAAAGTCCCCCCCTCACACACAAAAAAAGTTTAGCACACTTGAACCCGCCTTTGCAACATACTGGATGGGGGAAAGTAAGGGGGTAGTAGGAATACAATTAGTAGATGCAAGCAGATGACAAGCCCATCCTCTGTGATGTTTTAGGAAGGAGCCTCTACCTTCAAGCTTTTGTATGTATTCCAAACTCTGCCTAAAGAGCTGTCAGAATTATCCTGACATAGGATCAGGTGAGCGTCAGAAAGAGTGAAACAGTAGAAGTTTGTGAAATTTATCTTTAGAATATTTGCATGCTTGATCAGTTTATTTCCTAACCCCTGTCAGGTCAAGAAGTCTCCTCATTACTGGCACATAACCGAGGCTTAGAACTGCCCTGATCCTGCTGTAGCAGTGGGTAACACACATGGAGTCACAGTGAGGAGCAGCAGTTTTCTGTGCAACTGAGGCACACGAAGTTTGACCAAATGATCACTTGCAATATCCTAAGACTATGATCTCAGATTTGTTCTTTTTTTTTTTTTTTCCCCACATTATGCCTCACTCTTCCACAAGTAATTAACTTGGTCTTCATATCAGCATTAGAATAATCTGAGCTCTGTGTAAATTCTGGTACAGCTGCCACTTGGAATTCAATCTCCTACAAAAAAGAAGGCTGAATGCTCAGGTTAAAATCCGCAGCTCAGAAGAGGTAACACCCAAGAGCATCTCAGCCCTTTTCTGGGAACAGAAGTTTCTGGAAGGAAAGCCAAGGTTCCTAAGCACCATTTCCTTATTACAGAAAGCATCTCCTCCAGCAACTGAAGTTCAGCTAACAGCAAAGAACCTGACTTTCACCATGGAGCAGGTTCTCCTATGCTTATTTCCACATGCACTGACATGAGCACAAGGGAAGAAATGAATAGGAATGAACTCAAACCAGTAGCTAACCCAGCATCAAGCACATCTTGTCTCTGTTCAGGGACAGGAGCATTTGATTCAGTGGGAGTGCAGCCCCCATCTAACTGCTAAATTAAGTTCTACTGGAGGTTGCTGGTGCATGTGTATCCTCTGGAACACCAAATGCATTTAGAGCTGGAAACATCAACCAAGTTCTCTCCAAAGGTAACTAATTGCTGGAGTCATTATGGATTTTTCCAGGAGAAAGACAACATGGAAAATCTGTGGACTGTTCTTTTAGACATCTATTAATTGAAACTTTCTAAGAAAACTTCTTTCTGTCATATACAGTATAGACTTAATTCCGAAAAGCAAATGCCATTTTTCCTATAAAATAACATTTAGTTTATCATCTTGATATTTTTTGTATCTGACTAATATTCTATTTAAAGGAGAAAATCCATGCTTAGCTCAGTGCTTAGAGAAAGTTCTCAATGGACTCTTTTGTTCTTATCTGTCAAATGAGTCATGGTTCTATTTCACATATATTAATACTAAAAAGTGAACAAGATAGAATTTTTCTCCTATTGTTGATTTTCTGAGTCTATTGAAGTTGCACTGAACAATTTATGTAACTTGCAAATCATAAAGTAACTGAAGTCACTGCAACAAAATGCAGCAGAGGTCCTGATTTAGAAACCCCCAGCCAGTCGGAGGCCAGGAGAGCATACAAGAGGCACAGCTTAAGCTGTCTTTACTCTTTAGATGTTTTACAGGCATTCAGAATGGCTTGTGGTCAGGGACATCAGACTAGTAAGACTTGTGGTCTAACTCATGTATTCATTCTTACATGAGTGGGAAGCTTTTCATTGTAAAATATCTGCAAAACAATCTGCCTATTTGTGCATCAAACTTCTAGACCTTATTTAAATTTAGGACAAAAGTATCTTTTCCTGCTTTCTGGATATCAGCTCAGGCAGTAGAAAATGACTCAGTTCTATTTACATACTGCATGCATTTACTTACAAGAACATTTTTGAGCACAGTTACGAACACTAAGACAAGTGTTTACACAACTTTGATTAAAAAAGAAGAAAAATGATCCCAGTGAAATTTAATCAGCATTTCTCGCATGCTATGATTAATTTGTAAGTTAATGGAGTAAAGACTCCAACATGATTGTTTAGGATCATACTACAGTAAGATTTTATATGAACTGTATTGGGTGTTAACATTGGTAATACCACTGACCAGGGAGCTGGGGCTAGACTTAGGTCAATGAAGACATTTTACTTAAAAAGAACATCATCCCAGAACTTTCTGCAATGTTGGAGCTTCCAATAGGGATTGGAAGAATTTCAATATCGGGTCCAAATCAGCCACTGAGTTTTGTGTTAGTGGCATGAGCTAGCTGACAGGGAAAGGCTGAAGCTGTGTTGACCTCTCCCACAGAATTTCATAGTTAGAGGTGCAATCTCCCTTGAGTCAGTACTCTTGCATTTGAAAAGCTGCACAAAGGTCATTCTTCTTTGCATTTTCCTAGCAGATTAGTGGGTAAATTACTTATCAGCCTGGCTCCCTCCCTTCCTCAGGCAGAAGAGGTTGAATGTCAAGCTCTTACCTTTGTGCAGAGTTGCATCCCTTGAGCTCGGACCCATGCTGGTACCTCCTTCCTCCTACCTGCATGATGCAATCAATACCCACCACACCACAGTTTCCTTCCTCCAGTTTAATAAATCTTAATACTGAAAAATCCCCTCTTAATATCAACAAGTTCATTACAAAATCCTTTGGACCCATTTCCACACCCACACATCCACAGGTCACCCAGTGCCTCCCCACTGTACCCTTCTCAGTCCCTAATTGCTCTTTTGCTGTCCTTCCCCAAGTGTCCATGCATCCTGCCACTACTAATTCCTATTTAACCTTGTCTAGTGCCACAACAAAAAGCAGTAATACATTCTTCAACCATCTCCACTTCCTTAGTCTGTCTTAATTACAAGCTTTCAAGTCCAGGGACATCCACTTTGTGAAATGTCTGGTGCAAGTGCCTCACCTTTGTGTAACCTTCAACTGTACTGCAGAAAATGGGATTTGCTGTAATAAGATTATCATGTTACCAGTTAAATGTAGGTGAATTGATGCCTGCTATTGGTTGACTAAGTATAAATGTGAAAATCACTGCATTACATTTGTGCATTTTAGCTGAAGATTCTTCCTCTTACTCAAGATATTGCACACCAATGTTTGTGGAAATAAATGCTTTAAACATTATGCTCAGGATTGACTTGAGTGCCAAGAGAATAACAAATTTTCTACAGCAGTATTCAAATTGTTTGATACCAGGATTAAGGAAAAAATAAATTAGCAGATTTATTTAAATAGATGTTACCGCACTGATTGACTTAGAAGTACAGCACAGTAAACTGCTATTTTGTTCTATTCACCTCAACACACAATTTTCCCAGCGCTGTCCCACAGCACTGTCAAATCAAATTTGGACTAAAATTGAATAAATACAGAATTTTCTGTAGCTCATTGCCTTCGATGTGCAAAATATTCCCGAGCAGCTGAGAACAAACGAAGATCTCTTACTGAAAGTCTCTCACTTCTGCTCCACAGCAGCCATTAGCAGACCACATTTCCTAATGCAAGAATAAGAGAATCCCAAAGGGAATAAATGTTGCAGTCAGCACTGATCCTCAGGCCAGGAACAGCACAACAGGCAAAGCAGTAAGTCAAAACCCAAAAGACAAGTTTGGCTTTCTCTGTAACACAGATTCAAAGTATTTCATTAAGATTAGAAGAGGTTCACTAATTCCTAATCTGTTACAGATAGGTTATTGTTCTCCCCTGCATGAGTCATTTATTTCATGCATCATTTGAAAGACAAATACTCTGCAGCAGAGGTTTCATTTCAGGTCTGCCTTACCTTCTGAGAAGCACAAATCTAACACACAGCAATTCATTCAGTCTGAGAGTTTATGCAGTCAGAAGCTGCCTTTAAAGCCTCTTTACCCACACTCATCTTGACAAGACAGCAGCATTATTTTCCAGTCACTCACATAGCAGCACCTCAGACTGATGCTTTTCTTTGTACGTTGTTTTATGTCTCTCAAACTTCCAAACTAATTTGTTCCAATTTCTGTATTACACAAACTTTTTCCTTCAATGCTTGTAGGTTTGCTTGTTTTTTTCAAAGGGATTTGAAGACATAGAAGAAAGGGCTCAGAAATACCTTCCAGCATTATGAAAGAATGAAGAAAATTGAAACATTCTGAACTTCTCCCAACTGAGCAAGTGTTTTATTCTCTGTAATCACTAGAATTGTACATCAGAATACATCTGGAGAGTTTTTCTTCAACTTCCTTTTACCTCAGACTTTCTTGGTGTATTTGCATCTTGCAGGTGGAAGTATCACACAATTCCATCTGTTTCTAATTTGCTTGAAAGACTTCCCATTATATCTCCCACTTGCTGCAACAAATAAACCAACAGCTCATTCCTCTACATACCACAGGTATGAATAGAGCAACTGTGAGGAAGGGAGGAAAGCATGAAAAGGTAGAATGTTGAGGTGTCCTTTCAATTGAATTTTTTGTTGTAGAGAAAGCAGGCAAGGCTCTTCAATGTGATTTATGTTGCAATCTCATTCTTAGATCTAAAGATACTAAGTGACAAAGTCTATCACAGTTTAATACAGCAGAAAAAGTTTTTTTCAGGCTGCCTGGAAAGTACTTAGCACCATACAGACGGAAAGCCAGCTAGAATTTGGAAGAGAGACCTGTGATGAATGCGTTCAAAATACAGGTTTGTATGGGAAACCTTTGGTTTTTATTTAATATAACTATCACAGAAATTTCTTAATCATATTTCATTATTTTCTCATTTAATTAGTATGAGGCTAAAAAATGATGCAACTTATCAATACAACCTGCTCCAAAGACTAATAATTATTTGTAGAACTACACTAGTACTTGAAAAGCAATAATATTTGAATAGATGAGCAACTCAACATAAGCAAAAATAGAAACATCACCGACCATGAAATCAGGAGGAAGTCTAAAAAACACCAATGGCAGCTTTTTGCAAATAGACGGGGACAGGCCATGCCCTATACAGAACACCATTAACCTTCAAAGCCTCAGTAAAAATACAATTTATTTAAAGGACATGTAAAAGCAGGGAACTTTATACTGGAGTTCCAATACTAAATCCAAGACCAAAATCATCACACTGAGAGAAAAGTGGAAGTGCTTTACGAGATAAACAAAGGAGACAACCAGACTAAATTAGGAGTTCAACTGTAGGAAGGTATTCTATTTGTACTTACTATATTTTAATTCTTTGCTCAGAAAGTTTTTCCAGCATGTGAGAAGACTGAAGCATGAGTGAATAATGAACTCCACAGCACTATTTCACGTGTCTAACGTTCTTCATCTTGAAGAGCAGTTCACTGTGGTACTCCAGCATTTTATCCACTTCCCAGGACAAGTGTTCCTGTTCTCTATCTTTGACCTTTTAATTTGCCACGAAATCATCAGTACTCACTGGAAACCCAAGGGGCACGTAAGATAGTTATTTATTAACATTTAAAATAAGCATAAGTTTCTGGAACTAAAAACTTCTCCAAATTGTTCTGCATATGGTATTGCTGAAATTAAAGAGGACGTTAAATACAATGGAAAGACCAAGCATAATATTAAAATATGAAGTGGAATACAGCTCAAGTTAATAGCAATTAATTTACATTAACTTGAAGATTTTAAATACAATTTTACACATTTTCTGATGAAGCACCACACTCACAAGACCCAGTGAAGCATCTCATGAGAACTAAGCTGCAAACCAGTTAAGCAGTTGTAAAATAAGTTGGCAGCCTTTTATGTTTAAAAAATAAAGAATTTAGTAGTAACATTTTCTAGAGGACTAGCTGAAGAGGGGAAGATTTCACATCCAAAATATCCCAGTCGCAAGAAAGAAACATCTGAATTTTAACCAATTTAAAAATTCTGTATGCTTAGAAAAAGATCTCAGTCCTTCCATCATTTACATAGCTGCTACACTGAACTGATGTAAATACTGAAGATTTTTGGCTATTATTAAACAGCAGCTGCATATGTTAATGTCTGCAAAATGTTTTGAGGGTTTTTTTTTCTTTTTTTTTTTTTTTACAGTAGATATATAATTACAGTAAATGATTAAAGACCCACAACCTTTTATCTTACCATTTTGTTGAAATGTGTGAGTTCAGCCCAAACTAAAGCTAAACCTCCCTTATCTTGCTTAGCCTAGATATTTTTATTCCTGGACTAAGCATAAAACAAGGGCTTCTGGGTTTTAAACATATGAGGTTGAGATGTTTGCAGAACAAGAAAGAAAAGATGCATCAATTCAGAGTTCAAGGTTAAAGTATAACGTTTCATGTACGAGGACACAGACAGCGTGTTTATTTGAAAGCCCACAAGCTCAACTTAAAATACAATCATCAGTGTAGAGTATTTTGTTTCATATTACATGAACATCCACTTCATTCTCAAAACGCACATCAACTCGTGCAGGCAGATGAAATGTTATAGCCTGAGTGGATGAAATTAAAAACAAAAAAGAAAAGTTCCTCAAGTTTTACAAACTAATCTTACAGGCAAAGGAAATAAATTCAGTATTAGGATGACAACCATAGATGCACAGAGGATATGCAAACAGTTTTATCAACTCCCACTGTTAACACATCAGTTATCACCATCCCTAAAATTCAAAGAAACAACCAGGGCAGATCCTTACATGGAAATAATATATGCTCTTCAAAATTTGAATGAAACAACACCTCTCTCCACCTTCCAAAAGAACGTACTGTGGAGTTAGATTAAAAAGATTGGCCTTCACCAGGTGGGAAACCGAATTTAGCAATTCCTCTGGCAAACAGACTAAAACAAACCAAAGGGAAATCACTGAGTCGGGAACATTTTTGTGAATTTCAGAAAAAGCATCCATGACCACGCTTCCCAAGGTAGCAGCAGACACTGGAGTCATCCCAAAAGGAATGGGGAAATGGAAAGGAATGCTTACTTAGATGGAAGAAAGAAATTCATTGCTTCCTAAAGGTCTAACTAAGAGTGAAATTCTGGAGGAAGATACTTGAAGACCAACCCAGTTATGCTCTCTGCTTGAATTATGGCAGATGTTCCTTGTGCAATGCAGAGGGAAACTGGAAGAGACATCCAACTTGTGCCTGACTTCTATTGTCAGACTTCTACATCTGGAGAAGGACTAGGTTAGATAAATGGTAACAAACATTATGCATATAATGGAACATTAATAAACAAATATTACATGTGTTATTAGTAGCATTTGGCTTAGAGATCCCTGAACAATGAGTATATATATATATATAATTAACATTTCTGGATTTTTATGGGAAGTTAAATACTGTCAAAAGTCTGGAATAGTTAGAAATTTAACTTCACGAACTCAAAGGCCAGTATTCACCATATTCAAATGCACTTTATTCAAGTATATAAAGTAGAATAGACAATATAGAACAGATGCTTTGATGAAAACATGTCAGCTGTACACTAGTATTATAGTTTTAAATGAAGCCAAACTTTACTTAAGTTTCCTACAACTCACGGAATAATTCATTCCTCTCCCACAAACTACAGCTTACATGCCAGGCTGAAAATAGATTAAATGAGAACATGAAGAGGTTACTTTCACTGAAAGTTTCAAAAAAAAAAAAATTAAGATCAAATTGTCAATTGTCATGCAAGATTTTCATTTAAGTTATTGTACGCTAATTTATATCAAAACAAAAATGTAAACCAGCTTCTCTTGCAACTGAATAGAACTTCTCTTATTCTCTCAATTTATCATTAAACTATATTGACCTCCACCTGTCAAAAGAATAAAGACATAAAAAGTAGGAGTGTAGTTCCATAATATAAAATGGCAGCAAGAATTAGTTCAAATGGCTTTGAAAACCACATGACAGTCATTTCTTCATAAAGAGTTACTTATATTTGAATGCCTGGGATTACTTATTTAAAAATGAGTGCAGCAAAAAATTAGATGCTCCACACTGAATTTTCACACTCTACTAGAATCATCTCAAATATTTAAATATCTTCTTGTGAAAGAACTAACAATAATTTCAGAAACTTAGCTGCAAAAGGGCCAAAACAAAGGTAACTGCTATTTACGGAATTCTAAACACTGTTGCTTCAATGTTTTCAGTGAAATTGGCAGTTTCAAATAGGAAAAAGATGCTCTGAAATCAAAAGAATTTGTTTAAAAGAACATATTTCAGGTGTGGAAATACTTGTACTGCATAGAAAGTAACTTCAAAACAGAATTTTGACTAAGTAATGAAAAATAACTAATATACTTTCTCCTATACACCAAGGTGTTTTTCTTTTTTTTGCACTTGACTAAAAAGCTCACCATGTTTGGTGGATTTGTCTGGGATGAAAATGATTTTGGCAAGGGGCTTTTGCATCTAAACTTTGCAGACAGTGCTTTGAAACTGTCAGAGTATCCAAGGAGAAAAAAGCAAGAGGATGTACAGAGAAATGGTACTTGATAAAATTAAGCCTAGAAAAACAAAAGACATGAAGCAGTGAATTCTGTCTAGCTGTGAATATTGAGGTTTTCCCAATCCAAGTCTTTTAATAATAAAGTAGCACCTATGTTTTGCTTAAGTCAGCAACCTGAGCATTCAATTGACAGGGTTTATTTCTTGTCAAACACCAAAAAACCCCCTACGTTAAAGATGCTGATGTTACAAAGACAAGACATACTCAAAGATTAGCAAAGCTCACACAGCATTGATTTGTCTCAATTTGTACAATAAGGCAGGTCAAGTCTTTCAGCAATCCTTTCTCTATGACTTGTCAGATGTGTTTAAAGTGGGAAAAGTATTCAAAATGGAAAATACTCAGCATTTTTACCTTCCTTTCTGCACTAGAGGTGCAATAACATCTTATTTCACTGCATGCTAACAAAATCTTACACTAAGAACAGCTTTTTGGGTTTTTTGGAGGGGGGGCGGGAGGAGGGCAGTCATCTGCAGTTTTCACAATACTACTGTATATGGTTTATCAACTGGTGAGCATGTAGTTACAATGCAGCAGTGCCTGTTCAGCATTGCTCCTGAAAGGAAAAGCCTTCTCTTCCTTTCTCTCCCACCGTCTCCCTCATAAATGTTTAACCTCACTATTCAGACAGTTAAGAATTTTTCTACTGGTTTAACTGATTCAGTATGGACTGCAGAAAAACAAATGCTGACACAAAGGAGGTAGAATCAGGAACAGAAGTGGGGTTCTACCAACTTCACTGTTAGCAAGCAGCCATTAACACAGCTTCACTGTATCGGAAAAAAAAAAAAAAGAGACCAAAAAAGTATTTCTACATTTATTCGAGATATTAAGCACCATTCCTTTTCTTTCTGGAGGAAAATAGCTCGTGCATAAGGAAGCTGAAGGCTAGCAGTGTCATGTGTCCATTAACCAGTACAGCACTCCACAGCTGTATATTACAATGGTATATACTATTTTTACAGCACTTTATATGCACATAAAACTCCTTTTAATTTCAGCTGCACATACTAAACTCTCAGCAGTCTGCAAGTCGGTCACAACATGACTAATACCATCAGCAATTAAACTCTTCTATTTGTAGATCAACTAACAATCCTGGAACAGCATAAGAACTGTCACAGCTCTCTAAATGTGATCACCTCCTTCTGTTACAATCCCTTCTCATTTGCCAAGCTTTCAAAGTCTGCAAAGTAACAAACTCATTTTATTCTAAGCCTGATTCAATCCCAGAGCAATGCTCATGCTATAGAATAAAAGAGGCAAGGGGTAAAGCAGGAAATACTTTAAGTCTGCAAAAATATGAATAGTGCAGCAGAAGCAAAGTAAGGTTGCACATGCAATTGAATCCTGAATACCTGACTAACAGTAGCTTTCTTTTAACTGGAAACATCTGTGCATTTTCCTGATATTTTTGCAACAAAGAAGTAGAAGCATGCTGATCCCTTGAAGGATTATCAGAAGGACTACATTCTTTGAATATTGATTTTTGCCACTTCAAATGATCAGTCACAGTTGGAATAACAGGCAGTAATCCATAGGTCAGCCAACAGAGGGAAACAAATACCTACAAAATTTGTTAGCAAGAAACAAAAACAGGGAAGCAGGGATTTGGGGGCTCAAGCCAATTTCGTAAGGTTTGGGACTTGAAAACTCTCTCCTAGTTTCCTCACATAATAAGAGCTTAGCCTTTCCCTTCCTCACCTAATCTGCATTTAAGTGAGATTCTTTCCAAAATATGAAAGCGGCTTCCCTTCTGAGTTTGCAGAAAACAAGCAGTAAAAATTAAGATCTGCTACTCCTCATTCTCAAGTATTTAAAATAATGAGTAAGAAATAGCATGTATTGACTGTTTTGTATATGCAAGTCAGAAGAGAGCTGGGGCCTGAGAAGAGAAAAACTAAAATCCAGCAAAATAGTCTGTATTCAAAACAAAGTTATACCAGTTAAGCTTCAGAACTTTGATTACCAGAATCTGTAAATGAAGGGCTCAAAACAATATAAACATCTGTGCTGGACATTAAGACATGAAACGTCCAAATAATACGCCGTATTGCTATTTTAAGCTATAACATATCTGACTTCTACACTGTCTTTCTAAAAAGAGAAAGCTATCCATGGAGTTTGGTACAGGCTGTTCAGTATTTCATACAGTCAATACACCTGCTTAACATTTTTCTAATATTCTCTTCCAGAAGATAGAATGTGTGTGGCTACATAAACTGAAACAAAGGATACAATTTGAGGAGTTAAAAGCTAGTAGAGCAGTAAACAGTTTAATATGTATTCTAAAATTCCTTGTTTTCTAACAAAAATCTTGACAAAATGGCTATGTCTTCTCCATGGATCAAGGGTTGTTTTTTTTTTTCTCCAATATTTTTAACAGTAGACAGGGGAAAAGACCTCAATGTTGGGAAAATGAAACAAAAAACTTTGAGAACAGTATATGCTTGCTAAACAAGAATTATGTTTATTTAGCTAGTGAATCACCTAGAGGAGTAAATTTTCACTTTCATGATAGCAATCTGTCAGGCTTGCAAACACCCAGAAATAGGAATTAAAGATTTTAAATGTAGTTATAAAGGTCATAAAAAGTCTGATTTAGACTGAGGTACATTTACTCAAAACTGAGATTCATTGAGTGGTAGCAAACAAACAGTTCCTCAGACAAATGCACTTTTTTCAGTATACATGTTACAGAAAAAAAATAAAGAAATGTGCATTAACAGGTGGTGTCCACCAAGCTGCATATTAATATTCTCTTACACCAAACAGTTTGAAACAAGGGAAATGTCATTCTAATATAATTTTATGTTACGTTTCATTTGGCTAAACTGCAGCTTAAAGTTGCTTTGCCATTTTAAAAGATTACTACAATAATTTTCACATGAACATTTAGACTTGAGTTTTACTCCAGGACTAAATATGGCATGATTTGCTTTTAATCTGTTGAATAGCTAAAATCTGACAATTAAAAAAACTACAAAGAAAAAAAATTAAGTTGAAGCAATGTGAATCTCACATCATTGAACCACTTCTAATGGTTAAATGTTAGTATTTAACAAATTCAAAGAGTTAATGAATCCTTGCATTCGTTCAGTCTCCTGTGCCTTAGCTAGGATGCATAAATACAAAAGACAGCAGATACTGGTAAAAGCTTCAGGACAGAAAGTGCTTGACGAAGGTACAGTTCTCAAGTGTGTTTGGTGAGAGAGTATAAGGGCAGATGCACTGATGAGAACCATTACAAGAAGAGTCAATTTCGTGTTAAAGTGTTCAAAGATGTCACCTTAAGCAGAAAAAAGCTTTAATAACGTCTTCTTAGACATATTAGGCATTTCCAGAGTCTACATCATTAGTGTTGTAATTCTAGCAGGATATCTCCATACAGTTATTGTTTGTTTCTATTCCTCTCCTGAAAGAAAACAAAAACAAAGAGGAAAATCATGTTAATATATGAAATTAAACATTATTATCTTTCCTCTCATTAAAGCAGTAACATTGTAAATTCTCTAAAATCAAGCAACTAGCTTTCAAGGACTTCTAACTTTATAACTTTACAACCGTCTCTACGTACATTTTCTCTCTACAGTAGATACCAGATAAATGAGAACACACAGATCATGCTCCCACATATCTTAATCAAAGATTACTGTAGTAAACGTTTTGATGTGCTTAAGATCAAAAGGTAAAGGAACAAGTTGCACCAGTACTTCTTCCTCCATGCAAACACGGTGCTGTGATGACAAGATAAAATAAAAAAGGCCAACCATACAATATTTTTTGTCTAGAAGTTACTCACAAAAAGAGTGAGGTAGGAATGGCTGGGTAAAGACAAACAAAAACAAGATAACAAAAAACAATGATAGAAACCACTCAAATGCAAGCCTCACTTGCAATCAGGCTGACATTCACCTCAAAGCCACCACAGAGGTATAAGATGTTGCATTTAGTATAAAAGATGCAATATGTCATATGTGTAAAAAAAAAGATAAACAATGTAAACATATTTGGAGGGTTAAAGAATACACTATTCATTTCACTGTATCTCTATCAGAGACTAATAAAATCTTCCACTGTATTACAAGACTAACAGAGGAGTAACATTTTCAAGATAAATATACAATTAAGTATTATGATCTCTAGGAAAAGAACAAACAGCAATTATTCTTTTTTGCCTTCATTATGTATCTTGCTAATTAGACTGCAGGAAGACACTACAGTTTGACTGTAGGAAACTTAAAAATTTTCTTCCATTAGAATTTTTTTTTTTTTTTAATGTGTCACTGAGCAAGTTATGTAAATGTTTGATAATTCTTTCTGGAAGAGATAGCTCCCTGCCTCATTTAAAAGAAAACAGAGCTCATTTCCAGTGTTTTTATTACAGCATTACACAGGATGTTATAATTGGAACACATAGCAAGGAAAACCAAAATAAACCAGGAGGCATTTGAACAATTCAAAACCACTATCTGATATCATGCTGAAACTTTATTATGCTAGAAACTACTTAGAGAAAGTGAAAATTCACATATAATTCCAAATAAATTCTCACAAAAAGACATTATAATGAGAGTATACAAAACATTGAGATAGTTCCTAGAGAACAGTTGATTATCTAGTTTTCCTCAAGACAGACTTCTGCATCAAGAAAGGCTGCTTCAAAATGAATACCAAAAATGCAAGGTTTGCAGAGCTCTTGGTCACAACAGTAATCTCACTGTCTCAGTAGCTATACAACTTGCTCATTCCAATCTCTCCAACAGAACTTCAGTATATTTAAGGATCAACATTAGCATTATTCCACAGTATTCTTTTTCCTAGTTCAGAGATGCATGGCCAGTATTTGCACAGTGATTTTAAAATGAGATTGATGCTATCAGTCATTAAATTAATATATATTGGTATGTTAAGAGTGTATCCCTAGGCTAAAAACACATGATCACTGGGCCTCATGCCTATGTACATCAAGCATGCAAAAATGGCCTCCTTATGTACATCTTAGATTATTGCTGTACTATTAGCAGACTTAACTTCCAAGTACTGAAAGCCACTACTGCTTTATTATAGCAGCCTATGAAACTGCAATGTTAAATAACAACGTATCAATATTTTTTCAATTTAAAATACTAACTACACAAAAGTAGCATCATCAGTTTTCCTTCATTTCCAGGTAAACATTTAGTCAAGCTGACTACACAGCTTCTCCCTGCACTCCAAACTGCTCTCTCTCTTCTTATATTCAGATGAGTAAAATCTTTTCCAAAACTCAGCATCCTAGAGTAAAAAGCTTCTCAAGTCAATTCACATCCCCTGCCAAAGGCCAGCACAGCCTGCCACAGTCCCAGTCTGCCACAGTGAGGTTACCCAGCTTTGGGTGGAGTTTATGAGCAGGAATGGAAAGCAATCAAGCATTTGATTTAGAATTATGTGGGAATGGAACAGCTGGTTAGCAGTAACTGCTACTAAGAGGCCATGTGGTGAGCAAGCTTCATGCATGCAAACAACTTTCTACATAAACTGACAAAACCACATCAAGGTGAACCTGAAAAGGTTTAGGCATAAGAAACATGCCTCAATCTAGAGTAAAGGCAGATATGTAATGAGCAGCACAGCAATGTGTGTTCAATTTTAAGTTCAGTGCACCAATTGGAAGATCCTGTGCTAAAAAGCAATCACAACACAATTTATCCTCAGATAAATGCCAACAAAATTTCAATCTTCAAAACAACAAAAATATGCTCTGATCTGATTTGAAAGAAACTGCTGAGATGTATAACACTACTTTCTGGAATTTCTTGCCCAAAACAAGAGAAATGAAAAATGTTCATTTTTAGTAGCAAAACTGAAGTGGAAACCTAACAAAAAGAACTACTACAGCCCTAAGACACACTTCCCCCCCCCTAAGGTCCTACAAACTGAAGTTCAGAGTGAGGGAAAGACTTTTGCTTATTTTATGATAGTTGGAGGTGCGAACATTTCAAGGTGTCCATTTTAAAGCTATTTGGGGTTGCAAACTTGCACAAAATGCAGGTAGTTTCCTCATGCATTCAACTCCAGCATGATCAGCTATACTTGCAAAAAAACCTCTGCAGAACTTGTGTATTATGCTGCAATCTTTTAAAACGTTAATGCTTGAAACTCTCTGCTTTGCCCCCCTGCCAAGAGACAGCATTCTTACAGCAGTTTCAAAAGGGAATGTGCAGCATATTTTGGTTGCTTCAGTGCAGACTCCGATTTAATCTTCACGTTCATCTGCAACATAAGCAAACACGTCAGACTGCATTCTGTGAAGGGAAGTGCAGGCACACACCTCTGCCAACCCTACTGTGTGGGCTGGAACACCTGGCAGAGGAGGAACAGACAGCTGGAGATGGTGAGAAAAAGCCACAGCAAAGCTCATGAAATTTCACTTACTAATGGCTTCAGCCATAATCTGCCATTCATTGCACCCCAGTGTATCATTACAATGGGACAGCAGAAACACTGACCTTAGTGCTTGAGATCACAACTGAGAACAGATTTCTGAGAAAAGCAAAAAATGCTAGAAATAGTTTACCCCATTTATAGCAAGGATCTCATCAGCCATATGTTAATGAAACTTCTAAAGTTGTATGAAATATCTTAACATCTCACTCAAATTCCAGAGAGAGGGTAAATCTGAAGATAGATTATCTTACAACCAGATAAAAATTACTTGAACATATCTAAGTAGCACTTTTAGTGATTATGGGAATCTGTGAAGGAAACATCACTTGGGAAGGATCTCTAGAAGCCTTACATGAACCCAGAAATTAAGCGCTCGGGTACCACCTCCTCCAAAACATTTAGTTTCTTCTATTTCTTATTTCAACATGAAAAGTAAAACTCACAAATCAAAAATCAAGGACATTTTTAACTCCAGAGCTCCAACTTTTCCAGTAAGCCATATGAATTAATACTCGTCCAAGACCCTGCTGTTGTAGATCATTTGAGCTCCAGACAGCAAATAAGGCTTTCAAGCATATGAATACTGGGAAAGTTTGTAAAGTTGCAAAACCCAGAATTTTTATTTTCCATATTAATTTTGATGGCATTTTACTTATTTTAACCTCAGAAAGATTCCGCAACAGCAAAACTGTAAATATTACAATCATCATGGTAAATTATATTTGAGCAGAGCATTCTTTGTGGAACAGACAGAACATTCTATATTTTGTTATACTTAACAAAAATATGAATTCACATTTGAACTTCCACATCACACTAAATAACAAGGTATGAACATTCATAAGGCAAAGGTGGGGAAAGAAACTAATTTAAAGATACTATGTAATGACAAACCACAAAGGAAAGCTCTGCAAAAACCAAACTTAAACTCCATAAGCCAGAAAAGCTCTTCCAGTCTCTTTTCCCAGATGGATATTGTCAGTGATGGATTGACCAATTCTAACAAGACATAGCAAGTGCTTCCCTACAGTGCAATATATGTTGAAATATCAGATTTTAATTAGCTACAATATAGCCATTGGAGGAAGCTCATTAAAAAGTAAAAAAAGAAACTGTAATACTGACTTTTGAGGCCTTGGAACAGATATATGATGTAAGAACAAACTGCAGAAAGCAGTTAGATGACTGATATCTTTGTTACTTCTACTCAGAAATCCATGGGCAACAAAAACAAGACCTTATTTAACAACTCTGCTAAAGAATCTAGAATAGCCTTAGAAGAGAAATGACATCCACTGCAGAGTCTAGAAAATACTCTGGGGAAGAACTTCTCAAACTTTCTTTAAGCCTCACCACTAACTCTGTGTACAAGTAACAGAAATTACAATCTGCAACTCAAATTACTATTTTAATTTAAAATCTGTCATGAAGAATCATGAACATAGTTTATCTCACTTTCTTATTATATTCTGTATGAAAATGGAATTAACATATGGATTTGCTTACATTCTCACAACTGAATACAACCTTAAGTAGAGAAGCACAACAGTAATCATAATTACCTCTCCTGTTAAGAACACTACCAGGCACTTACATGGAACCTGGCTCAAACAGTTCATCCGATAAAAAAACACCATAATCCATGATGTCAGATGATTCTGAAGGTTAAAACCTATCAACTTTCATACTGAACCTCAACAATTTAGTTCAATTCAATCTGTAGAAGCAGCGTTTCTAGTTATTTAAGCTTCATATAGTTTTTGACTGTTGCTTTGTTGGTTTTTCCATTAAAGCACCGCTAACAATTTATGCTTGACTTTCTCCTAACTAGTCCACCTCTGGCATGAATTATTGAAACAGCGCTGAAGTAGAGTGAAGTCATGCAGGTTGTGACCACATATTGTCACACCTCCTGCAAAATGCAGGAAAAGCATAGCATTCAAGTCAATTTGTTCTCAACAGATTTATCTGAGTAGGATGCAAAAG